GAGGGATTGAGTTAGAGCAGGGGGGCTGGGGGTGCCTGGCTCTGCAGGAGGGGGAGGCATTGGGTTAGAGCAGGGGGGCTGCAGCACCTTAAACTCAAAGTCTTCATGGTTGCAAATAACAATGTGACACCTCCGATTATTGTGTTCTAGTCAAACAAGACTGGACAAATATGATCCAATACACCGACAACACAATCTGTAATAATAAATCATTACAACTTTCCGACATTCGTACCTTTTCTTTGGTGGCCCTGAAAGCTCTCGGGTTTCGTTTGTAGGCTTCGAGCTTGAACATGCCTGGTCTAGAGCATCTTTGAGTTCTGCATGGTTGAGTCCATAGGTCAATTTCCTAAAGCTGGGGGGGACCATCGCGCCTTACTTCTGTGCTGCCGTCAGAGCTGGGCCCCCAGCCAGCAGCTGCTGCTCTCCAGCAGTCGAGTTCTGAGGCAGCGCTGCTGTCAGCAGCAGCGCAGAAATTAGGTAGCACTACTGGAAGGCCCCCTACGATAACCCTGAGACACCCCCCCAGGACCCCTACAACTACAACACTGTGAGATTTCAGATTTAAATAATTCACTATTTTAATCCTGTGACAGTGAAATTGACCTAACTGGGCTGTGAATTTGGTACAGCTCTACATACGAGAGCTAATTGCCCGTTGTGGACCAGAAACACCAAGTAGCTTATGAAGGGGTCAGATGTACAAGTAAACTACACAGGAAACGCTCGCCCCTGCGAATGGCAAAATTCACGAATCCTGGGAGCTGCAGCTCCTGGCTCCGCAGTGAGTTCCCCGCAACTCCCGAACTCCTGGCCGGGCTGGGACCCAGCCGTGAAAACACAGAACCAAATCGCAAGGGTCTCCTGTACAGCAGGGGGCAGGTGTCTCCTAGTCATGGACATCTGAGATCCAGCTGTTTAGCCTTCCTTCTGCTGAGCAACATTTCTGGAGCAGAGAGACCTGCTTGCAGCTTTCCTGCTACCCTGGCCTACTCGGACATGGACACGAGGCCTAAGTGTACTGGCCCTTGGACAGCGTGTCCCCAAGCACCATGCACACCCCATGACTTGCTGTGCTTGGTGTGTTCCTGCCCTGTGAACAATCATTGGGTACCACAGATCTCCAGGGGAGCCCTGATTCTGAGCTTTACCTTAGAGGTGCTGAGAGTGAAGCCGAACAGGCGGGTGCAGCGTGCCTGAGGAAGGAGGGGAGCTCGGGTACTGGCCCTTGGACAGCGTGTCCCCAAGCACCATGCACACCCCATGACTTGCTGTGCTTGGTGTGTTCCTGCCCTGTGAACAATCATTGGGTACCACAGATCTCCAGGGGAGCCCTGATTCTGAGCTTTACCTTAGAGGTGCTGAGAGTGAAGCCGAACAGGCGGGTGCAGCGTGCCTGAGGAAGGAGGGGAGCTCGGCGGGACAGTGGGGAAAAGCAGCCAGTGGGAACATTCCTCCACCGGTTGGACTCTGAGCCCTGGCGGCTACACCTGCAGCCTGGGCCGCGGGGATGGAAAGCGCTCGGCCGCAGATCGCAGGGCGCTGGCCAGCGTGCGGAGCCAGGAGACGCCCTGCCTTTGCGGAGCAAGGCGTGTGGGCTGGGCCTGCCCAGAACGCTGCCTTAGCGCTGACCGTGTTTGCGTTCGTCCAGCCTCCCAGCCCTTTGGGTGGCCGGAGGCTGCTGGGTGGAAGGTGGGCGGG